GGGAGAGATGAAGAAGTCGTTAAAGATGCGGCGCGCGCGAAGGAGGTACTAGGTTGATCTTTGGATACATTAAACTCAACGGGAGCAGCAACGCGCGGATCGGTGATCGAAGTAGAACTCGGCGTTGCATTACCAAGAAGTGAGACAGGAGGAGCATCAACAACGACATCGAACGTTGAAACCGGTATATCGGGCGTGATAGGACTAATCGCGGGTATTCCCATTATGTCGGATTTCGAGGGCACAGGTGCCGGCGAGGGAGATTTTTTTAGCAGGTTAGGTGCAGAGATGGAGGCTGGAAAATGCGATTGATCAGCATAAGAACGATAGGAAGTGAATTAGTAGAAGATCTGATCCACCCAAGATACGCACGTTCAGTAATCTCCACTTCCTTAAATCCAACTTTCCAATTCTTCCCTCCACAGTTATCCCACCACTCTCCACCGGCATTCCCAACAGCGAACCTTCCAACAAACTCAACCGTCCTTCCAAGCCCCACAGCAGGAGGAAGGTTTATCCTAAACGCAAACCGATCCCATTCAGAAGAATTCTCATCGGCTGTATAGCTGGGGAGAGCGATAAGGTCTCCAAACGTGCGAGGAATACCCAGTCCAGAGCCAGATTTGGAGGCGAGAGAGATAAGACGAGATTTCCCACAGGATCCAACCCAATTTCCCCGTACTTCGTTCACCGTCGACCAATCATCCGTTGTGAACCTGACACAAACATTTTTTTCGAATGCGATGTTTCGCACAAGGAAGGCGCCTTCTAGAGCGAAAGACTCCGCGTCGTCTGGCGAAGAGGCCGAAGAAGAAGAACTTTCGAGACGAATGTCTTCCAAGAGAATGTTCGTCGAACCAGATAGAGCATCTCGAACTGATTCAGGTCGGGGAACAGGACATACGGGAGAGGGCACATCGAGTTCTATCTTTACCTTCCTCGCTCTACTATATCCTACCTGCTCTTTCTCCTCTTCCCTTCTTGCAAATCGAGGACCAGTGCCAGTATTTCGAATGCGAATGAGTCCTCCCGAGCCTGAAGAACTACTGCTACTCTCGTCGTCATCGTCACCCTTGCTTCCTACACTGCTTGTTCGGCCGAGTCGAGGCAAACGAGGAAACGGAAAGGCACTGGATTGATCTTTTGAATTGGGAGATAGGACCTTGGCTGCAGAAACTCTGTTCGACTTCGACGATGCAGCAGCATCCCATAAGCCTCGACCACCCCAAGTGCCCACATTATAGCCATACCCATACTCCCTATCAGTCTCAGTTTCAGTCTCGGTTTCCTCTCCGCCACTCTTGACATCAGTTCCACTGCCTTCTGCACTCTCAACGCCATTTGTTGAAAGGTTGTTTGAACCATGGCTTAAAGTGGACGCCAGTTGATCACGTTCTTTACGAGTTACCAACAGACTTGACGGACGCGCCTCCTTCCGAAAGACACGAACACGCTCAAGGTCAGTTGGGAGCGAGGGAAAGTGCACACTGCGAGGTGAAAGAAGGGCATCAGGAGACATCGGGGGCTCAGATAAACCTGGAGAAAGAGGTGCTTCAAACATAGGCGATATGGGAACTGTCCAGGTTGACTCAAGAGCCGCCTCTATGCCTTGACTAGGTGTCATCGGAGGAGATGGAGCAGATTGTGCTCGGACATGCCCACCAAAAGACGGTGGAACCAGATTCGCAAAAGATGCAAGTGAGGGAGCAGATGTTCCTGGAATCTCTGGACTCATGATTGGGGAAGTCGCGGTTGAGTTTACGGTAGAATTGACTGGAGAGTTCCTAACAGAGTACACTGGAGATACCGACGGAGAGTTCGCGGCAGAAGCCAATGGCGAATTTAAGAGAGAAGATACTCGGGATCCTTTCAACGAACTTCGCAAAGGCTTTCCATTAGAAAGTAGGATGACTGGTGACGCTGTGCGAGTGCCTACAGCAGAAGGCGCGAGCGTAGCGTCATGGGTACCGATATCGGGAGAAGATGATGTGCGTGTCGGCGCTGATGACCTGGTGATGGATACATTCGCTGGATTCGGTATGTACATAGGACCCGTCTGCACTGGCGAATCCGCCGAAGACTTCGGGAATGGGACGCCTCCGGAGAATGACGGGAGAACTTGAACCTTCAACTTGAGTGGCGGCAAGCCACGGTCAATTTCATCATTTTCATCGTCATCGTCGCTGCTGCAGCTCTCACGTCTGTCGCCGATGCGGAACTTGGAGGTGGTACTGATAGTGGGAATAGTACCACTAGAATGCCTTCGAGGTAGAGATCCAAGACCTCCCCATGCACCACGGGTACCAATGTTTCCATTGAAGATCTGTTCGTTGCTAAACCTAATGGAGCCTGTTCCTGTTGACAAGGACTTTGTGATAGGACCGGGAATAGATGAAGGAGAGCTGGATTCAAACCCGTACTGAGCTTGACTCGAGTAGGATCGTCTGTGTCCCGGACGACCAAGTGACTGCGTGGAATGATTATGGTTGTGATTCTGATATGAATGCGATGAGGGAGAGTGAGAATGATGACGAGAAGGTGAAGGTGAACGAGGAGATGATGCCGGTTGTGAATATGGCATCGTTACGGTTCGCTCAGACGTATGCCTAGACTGTAAAACATGTCAATGTGGATTGCTCGGTCGATATTCATCATTACCTACCTTGAGGAGCGGTAGAAAGATACAGCGCAAGTTTGGTTGATTTAATGATGCTCCAGGTCAGAGTCTTGTAATGATTGGTGAAAGGTATATCTCAAGCCGGGACTGTTATAGATTGAGTCCCACCGCGTCGAGCCCTTAAAGGCTGTTGAGCTGTTGTTGACTGCAGAGGCAGCCAGTTAGCAAGTTGCAAAGATTTGCATGAAGAAAAAAGAGCGTATGATGCAAGGGCTGACAAGACTAGGCCAGGCCACCGTGAAGGTCAATAATGGAAGGGAAAAAAGGTAAGGAACAGGGGTGAACAGCCTGAAGATAAGTGAATAGATAATGAAGGTAACAGAATACGATATCTTTGGTATAAGTCTACCGAGAACACTCACCCTTTGTAGTGTTGATAACGACTCGGCTACCACGTCTAATCAGAACTTGAATTCTTCCAAATTCGCGAATGTTGTTCGTATAGATGTTCAATCGTTATTTGCCGTTACCGAGGGAAGTTGGGATGGATTTGAACTTCGGACCGACGAAGATAACCTAAATATTTAGCTCTAGAGTACTGAAAAACTGCTGTAGCGGCTCAATGTTGGTGAATATTTAACATAGAACCCACTGATATGTTCGTAACGCGCAACTGCTGGGGGCCTTTTGCTCAAGCAGGTTACGAAAGGTCGTGAAAAGAAAATAAAAGACGTTAGCAATAGCAAGAAAATTTCTCTGCCATGAGCCTCGAAATGAATGAATCAGCCTGGCAAATGGGGAAAGAAAACAAAGCTGAGTAAATTTGTGGGAAAAACGCGCCCTTGAGTATCGTCATAAACGCGTCATAAATTTAACCCCTGTCAGAAGGACCTTTACTTATGGCAGGCGAGCTCTTCAATACGCTTTCAGTACCGCGCGACTATGTACTCTTCTCTTCGCAAAGCCCCGGTTCCCCTCCAAGTGCAAAGACAGCACATGCAAACTTATGCATTCAATTGAGCGAATTTTTTGCCATCCGTACAAGATGCCAGCTTAATTTCTTTCACACGTCCGGTGCTGCCCTTCAAGCTCAATTCTGGAGAACGAATCAGGTATTCATTCTCTGATTTCTCTCGCTCATATCCAGTATGGCATCGCTATTGATAGAATAGATTTCTCATATGCTGAATGAACATCTATTCTTCTCGTTTTGGAAATTGCACACCAGGAAAGCTTCCAAGAAAAAAAAAACTCACGGACAGGCTCGAATAAACATTTCATAATGATTGGGCGGGCTTTGCACAACTCTGAATTGTTTACAGCTCCTTACCAGCGTTGAGGTAAGTTATGGCAGAATAAAATCAAGCTGTATTATGTATAGACAGCAGCAGACAGCTGTATGATACTCACAGATAGTTTCTCGTTGAAGTTCAAATCAAATCGGGTTTCGGAAATGAAAAGTTGCTTAATCATTAGTATCATAAGTCGAATAACGTGTCAACATTCCGTGCTTTATGATACTTGATGGATTGAGGGTGAGGGAATTTTCCTTCGCGAGAAGGAAGTGATAACGTCGGTAAATGTGATTTGTGGACTGCTGTGGGCTGTAGTAGGCTGCAGTATAACTCCATATGTATAAAAATGGCACGAATGTTTAGGCGAAGCGAATACAAGTGTGGACAGTGATAAGCTAGCTTATCGGAGCCGTAAGAAAAAATGAACAGGCACTGACATCGCTAACGAAAGATGGTAAAAAAAAATCAATCTGAAGGATGAACGTGCGCGCGTTCCGTATGATAGATTGATTGACTTGAATGTACCAGAGTAAGTTCCAGTAGGCTCTCGCTGAAAACCGCAACTTTCGCCATCGACAACGCATCAATCCGTGAAATGCGGATTCCATTCCGCAATATGCATGTGGATATATGCGCGGCGCAAAGAAGCACCATGGAGGAGGGTAAAGAGGACCGCACCAATAAAATCATTCATTCGATGAATTCTGGACAGCTTGGGTCCATTTCCTTTACTTTCAGCTTTTCGTGTTTCCACTGAAACCCTGGAAAGTTTCCAGGGTTCTATTCTGGTTGTCCAAAGCGAGTCCAAGGCCTTCCAAGGCCAACGCCTGGACTCTCCTAAGCTCCGCATCAGTCCGCATCACCCTAGAATTGCCGATCAAAAGTGAGGGAGAAAAGCGAAATCTCAGATCTCAAGACTTTATGAGCTGCTAACTTACATCTGAATTCAAGTTGGATGATTACAGAACGTAGGGGGCTTTCTTGGTCCTATATGCCTCCAGACTTGATGGACTTTATGGAATGAGGAGAGAGGACGAGAGTCGCTCCTCAATCGCGATATCACTAGGAAAGATTGCTCGAAATCCAGCGGCGCTATAGCCAAGTGGTTACGGCGACAGATTCGAATTGATTCGTCTATCTGTTCCTCTTTGAGGGCGCAGGTTCAAATCCTGCTGGCGTCGTCAGTGTTCTTAACTTTTTGATGACCGTGCGGTGGCAACAACAGCCAGATCCTCCTAGGTCTTTCTAGACTGTGGTTCTAATTTTGGTTTTATCTTGTGTTATCTCCCGGCGGTAGCGCGCTCTAGACATTCTATCGTATCTAGAAACCAAAGGAGAAATCAAAGGGAAAATCGAAGGTAAAAGAAGGAGGAGGAGTTCTTCCGCAAAGAGATATCGCCACAATGCACGAATTAAGTATGAGGAACCCATGTCCCCGGCAAGGAATGCGAAAGCGAAAACACCCATGGTCAGAGAGAGTTCTTCCATGGCGGCAAACAGAAATCACAGCAGAAACGAAGAAGGCGAAGGCAAGTAAACATGTACACGTATGGACGGGGGCAGTATTCGAAAACACGAAAACATTCAGTATGAATACGGAACACATGGTCAGGCTACATGGCCCCGAAAATCGTCCTCATAAAGCGACTCAAAGGCCTCGGATCTGTACCGAAGCAATGTTTAACAAGAGCTGTGAAGTTTGAACGCTTGACTGCGAGCCAGGGAATACTTACCATTCGGTACTAGATCATAAGGATTAGAGGTATTTATTCGAGTCGAAACCTAAAAGGCGTAATGCCACTGGTACAGCCCTTTACCGTAGCGCAAAGGGTTTATGAATCAGTGGGATCACTTTCACCTATCCAAGCATTTTCAAGGTTCACTGAAAAGGCGTGACCGTCAGCTGAGTACCATCAGTTACTGCTCCTTAGGCTCTGTGTCTGTGTGCTGTCATAGTTAGCCAATCTCCATAACTACAAAAGGGTCATCAAGCTGAAAAGGAGTCTTCAGGAACTCCTGCCGATCCTTTAGCGGACTGTGCCTGTCGGCTCACTAATATATCCAAAATGAATAGAGTCGGTACACGGTGTCTCCGTCATTTTCTCCGCTTTCTCACTAGCTCTACTAGAGAATGGGCCTTTGAACGATAATCATCGTATCCTCCAAGAATTATGATGAAGGACTCTGGATGAGATTTTTAGGCAATGTGTGATCACCTCCTTTCCGTTAAAGTTCCGACGGCCGATGTGAGTAGATCATCGCATTTGATATTTTGACCATATGAAGTTCCAAAAAGATTATAAAATAATGGGAGCGCAGAGTCGGTAGAATCGCTTTCCCCTTTATCCCTACACTCATTGGCACTTCCGTCATGGCGTCTATGGTGTTCCCCTCTGAAGGGATGCAGGCCCTGAGCTTTTTGATCCACATTTTGGGTGAGCCCATTCCCAGTTATTTGCGCCTGCTGAGATTCAAGCGTTACCCTAGGAATATCGATTCTTACGCATTGCCTTTCGCGGCGATTGGCTGCGGAAGACTGGAATTCCTGGAGCTCACTTAGGGACATGACCTGGGCTCGAGTCTGTATCCTACTTATTTTTATTGACTCGTGGATGTTTCTCTTCGCTAGTGAGCATTTTCTGGTTGAATTACCTGAGCAACGGTATATTGAAACTGAATAGGCGGTATGCTCACATTCGGCATTGGCTTGGAGAGTAAGGATCTAGTCTGCGCACTGGCTATCTACTTGTGCGTGGTGTTCTACGCGACTTCGAAGCTTTTGATTTACTCTTTTCTGGGTAAATAATCTATCCTATGATTAAGATTAGTACTAACAGTCATTTCTTCGTCCTCAGTCGAAAAAGTCTACCTGGTCTGGAGCCCCTCAACGACCAGCCCTCAGAGATTCAAGTCCCCTATCTATCTCGGTTGTCTAGGGATGATCGCGATATACGGGGGAATTATTGCTTCGATGTTTGCAGGTTTTTCGCTCCGCCATTTTTCGCAGAAAAAATTCTCACCTAGACTACAGGCAGAATTCACTATTTCCGCGAAGGCGACGGAGTTTGCATCATCGGCCTCAAGCAATATTCTTCGCTCGCTTTGGTTGCTTATGACTTGTACGTTCAGCCCATTAATGGGTCTATATCGGAGCGAGAATTTCGACTAACAATGTGGTAGACTGATCAACATCGTCTTAACTGTCCTTTTCCTCTGGCCAGTGTTTAGGGTCAACCTCACAAACCCTCGTCTCAAAGCAGTGGCCACTCGCACTCTTTTAGCTTCCGCCGTCGCGCTCACAACGTCCACTGTAAGTCGCCATTAGTGTCTGATCGTGTAGAAATGACCTCTAACCATGCCACAGGTCAATATGTTGGTTTTAGCACTGGTAATTTTTGCTTGATAGTTTCTATATTACCGCATTACTCACACAATTCCCCAGCTCAAGGGTCATGAAAATGGATGGGTCTGTTTAGGATCATGTGGTGCCGACGTAAGCTCCAATGCACGATACTTATCAGCTGTACCCATGAAATCTACAGGTCATATTCAACGCCCTTGCCGTCTTCTGGGTGACGAAGCGCAGGGGTCAGAGTTACAACTACCCCAGCTCAATCGGGCAAGTAATCAATAACCCCGCACGTGAAAGCAGACGTGCACCAGAGGCCAAACTCCATGGCGACACCGGTAACGATCTCGTGATCGGCTCACCACCCCCTACGCCCTGGCAAACTCCTACATTCAACGTCGATGCGTCTCGCCAGACACCCAGCATTATCGGCTCGGGTCCAACCTCTCCGGCAATTCGCAAGCCCAAGTACAATCTCGCGTTCACGTCGTCACCCAGAGAATCGCGTTTTGAGGACATCGAAATGCATTCGACTCACAAGCCTTCCTTGTTCAGGTCCATGACGGGGTTGTTCCGTTCCGAACGCCACCCTTCAGAGCACGCCCTTCAGGTACGCTGACTTGCAGGCGTGTCTCGCCACGTTATTGATAAGCTCAATTATAGGTTACTGTCACCACCATTATCACGGACGACGTCGAGGCCGGCAACGGGGCGAAACTTTCTTCCAATGAAGAAACTGAGTCTCAGGACGATAGGAAATGAAACAAAGCTGTTCTGGCGATTTGGAAGTCAAGAGGTCATGTTCACTGTTACAAAATTGGTCGCCTGGCTGTTTTCTTCCCTTTTTTCCCTTTGATTGTTGTGTCCTTAGATCCTTAGACTGATATCATTCGGGACAAGCTTGACGAACTGCTCTGTATATATTCATTATCTATTCATTTCGATTTTCTTTATATTCAGCCCTTTCGTCTTTCCACAACCTGTTTGTACAATCCGAAAACTTGTTCAATAACAGAATGTATATTTCCCTGGTCATCTACACGTCTAAGAATTGGTATTTTTTCGTTTACACAAAGAAAATGTCCCAATGAAATCAAGAAAAAGTGATCGCTACATGGATGGATATGTAGACGGGGTATGGTGAATTACAACCAAAATGTGCCAAATGACTTATGACGAGATATCTAAGTAAATCTATTGAGAATGAGTTACAACAACACAGAATATACTGCCGAAAAAAATACAAAGGATGAAGGATATGTCCGCATAGATACGAATACGTAGTGGATAGATAGAGCGATGGTACACGGTCCAACTTTATGAAGTGGGAGGTTACCCTTTTTTTTGTGAGATCTTGAATGGTCGTGGAAGGTGGCGTAAGGCTTATTGAAAGTAGTGAAATATGCAGATGTCCCACACCTAGCCCAATTCAAACATATAAACTCAACCTCCAATCTCCAAACCGAGATTGCCCTTGGTAATATCAGGGGGATGGTCACCCCTTTCTTTCCAGCTCTGACCGGAAAGCCCAGACGAGGGCATTTCGGCGAAGCACCACTGCTGAACAAACCAGTTATACAAGGAGTCCGAGTTAGCTTCCGCGGGAGGGGTAGGAATGTTCAGTGAGGATGAGCTTGGAGGCGATGAAGGTTTAGAGTTGGGGGGTGATATGGTGGAGGAATTCTTTGGACTGGATGGGGTTGTAAGTATCGAGAGCCGTTCCCAAGGTTGTCCCTTATCAGCAATGTTTAACTGCGTATCCAGCGGCGGAGACGATTTCTGTGCGGTATCAATTGACTCTTTCCCCTCGGATTGAGCTGAAGTCGAGGATGTTGGAGGGGCACCAGGAGCAACGTAATTTGATAAACTGAATCTCCGCAATCTGTTAGCAGTAGCCTGGGCAACGGCTTCTGTTCGTGCGGGAGAAGGTGGAGCAACAATGGAAGCAGGGGCAGATGATGATGTGGTTAAACTTGTTGTTGACGAGGCTAGTAGAGTTGAAGATGCAGATGTGACCTCCGGCTTCGAAATCGCGGGAGGAGAAATGGTCGGAGAAGATACTACGACATTTGGCAGCACTACCGGCTTCGAGGTCGATACTAAAAATGATATAAGGAATGGGGATATATTAGACTTAGTGAACTTACCTGTAGGAAGATCGGCTGGCTGCTGAAGATCTTGATTCACCTTGACGAGCTTGAATTTGACGCGCCAGTTCCGTCCTCCACAATTGTCCCAATACTCCCCTCCAGGTGTATTGTACCTTCCAACGAAGTAAATAACCTTGGAAGGAAGGGAGGCCAGAGTGTAGTCGGACAAATTAAGGCTAAACGTGAACCGATCCCATGTATCAGTATCTTTTATCGACGAGCGCTGAGCTAAAAATGGCGAAGGGAAATTGGCAGTCCAGCTAGCCTTGATTTCACTAACTGTGCTCCAGTCGTCGGCCGTGAAGCGTACGGCAACATCCTTATGAAAAGCCAAGTTGCGTACGATGAAGGCACCCTGTAGGTGCAGCTTGTCCTCGGGGAGAGATGAAGACAGCGAGATGGACTCGAGAAGAATGTTGGTTCCCGGCACAGGCGGTATGGAAGCGGGGTTTGGAACTGGATAGCCAGTCATATCCAACTCCAACTTTGTCGCGCCATTCTGGTATTCCGAGGCTCCGACGGCTGGCGACGGAGGCCAAACAGAGTTGCTTGATGACAAAGGTGAATTGTTCATTCTTGGGAAGGGGAAAGACGCATGAGATGGCCGAGCTGTAGTCATCCCTCGAAATCCGTATCCCCAATCACTACCACGATCTGTTTCCGTCTCCGTTTCCGTCTCTTC